GTGAAGGTAAGAGACATTTCCTGAGGCTCATTAATCTTTCTAGAAGTGCTTGCCTGTCCTCCACAGCTTCTGCTGTAATGCACTTCAGAATTGCCTTTCGCTGTTTTGCCATATCATATATCATTGGACTTCTCGCACTTCCCTTGCGATGCTGATGTGAAGCATGTTGTGACAGATATTGATGAATGCAAGGAAAAGACTGCATGTCAATGCAAAGAATGCAAATGCAAAAACACATGGGGAAGCTATGAGTGCGGCTGCAGTGGAGGCTTGCTTTACATGAGGGAGCATGATACATGCATAAGTATGTAGCCCTCATACATGTACACTATCAGCTTATTATTGAGTCGCAGTTTTCATGTTGAATTCGTTAACGTTAGAGGTCATAAGTTAGCATAAGTTGCTGGCTACCTCACCTATTCGAGGCATATGAATCATATAATTTTGGATTTTTGCTCTGACAACTTGACAGTTCAAGCTCAAAACTAGCAACTATGCTGAATATAGACATTAGCATGACACTCAAGTGATGCTAATTGGGCATTTGTTGTACTCAGGCAAAAATGGAGCATCAGAAGCAGGCTGGGGCTTCTTGTGGGTCGTCTTCTTGGCCTTGTTGCAGCAGGAATTGCAGGATATGCAGTGTACAAGTACAGGATCCGGGTAAGAAATAGGCAGCTTGTATCTGCTGATACTTCTATATTCATTACCTTCCGATAACTCTGGGTTGGCAACTAATTCTGTTCTTGCATTGCCCGTGCCTACAGAGATATATGGACTCAGAGATCCGTGCTATCATGGCTCAGTACATGCCCCTGGACAACCAAGGAGATGTCCAGAGCCATTCTCATCATATTGAGATGTGAAGTGGATGCAGATTAGATGAGAGGAGACCGAGACTTGATCTAGCTTATATACACTTGAATTAGATGTGCATAATCGTAACGATCTTATTTGTAGCATGCAGTCTTTGAACAATTTGTATCGGTGTGGTTCCTGTGTTAGGCTGTACCATGACATGGTCTTGTTTAGTAATAACCTGCCATCTTTTCTTTCAGTGGCAATAAAGGAGATGGCAAACGGGCATGACTGGTGTTCAGTTATGTTTGAGGTCCCTGATCAGTGAGTGGTAAAGAAATTTGAGCGCCTAACGTAACAGAAAATTGTGCCTGGTGTCAATTGTTTGATCCATGATGCCAGTCCATTGAATGACATTGCTCCATGTGTAGAACATATTTGTTTGAGCCGAGTCCGTACCCAAGAAAGTTTTGTTCGAACAGAGTTCTAAGGCATTCTGTGACTGATGCATCACATTCCCCATCTGGCAGCATCTGATATTGGAACAGGTGAATGAAATATGAGATCGACAGAGTTGAATAGCTAATGCTAATTGTTTTGTCAGTTGTACACTACGTTGAATGGGGCTAAAATTAAGCACAATTCCTGGGAAAAGATGCAGAGAATTCGTACCGGTGAATAATCCACGATCGTAAATTTCCAGCTAGAACAGTTTTTTTCTCTCACACCAAACCAACCAGCAGTAATAATCCACGATCGTATATGATCGTTTCAGCCCCAGCCGAACATGCTGCTAAAATGGCCAAACAAAAAACCAGTGTTCTCTTCAAATCTAAAATCCTCTCCAATCCTTTATGCTCGGTTCATGTACTGCCCTGTTCTTGAATCAACCAGAATATCATCGCCTACGTTCACAAAAGAAGGCACGGTGACAACAGCTCCAGTTTCCAGGGTTGCAGGCTTTGTTCCTCCTACAAAATACAATGACTATGTGATTCCAATTCTGATGACCTAAACTTCCATCTGAAAAGAAATGGACGTAATAATGTCGTGTTCTTCACAACTAGATTGCATCTGGTTACTTCGGTTAGCAAAAAGCGTGGTTAACCAATTGCAGGTACTTGCTGCAAAAGCGTACTAGATATTAGAGTAATTTGTACCTTGTGCACTATCGCTTGCCCCAGGGTCAGTATCAGTTACGGTCAGCCTCACAGTGATGGGGAGCTCGAAATCAATGATCTACACAATTATCACAGTTAATGGGCAGTATATTTTGCTGTGTGGGAACATTGTCCCCCCTGGTTCTATAGAAAATTTTGAGAATGAAATTCATTAGTCAATTGGATAGCAAATAATCTGAAAGGTAAATAGGAAATACCTTCCCATTCCAGGACAGCAAATTGCAGTCCATTCCTTCTTTCAGCCATTTTTGCTTGTCACCGACATCTGCTTCATTTAACCGACTTTCTTCAAATGTTGTCTGGAAAGGAAATTGACAAGAGCATCGTAAGATACAAATGTTAACAGAATTGTTTACGTACATCAATAGATCGTAAGTTTTTTTTAGGTCATTTTTTTTTGAGGTCAATAGATCGTAAGTTCAAATTTGTCCATGAATCCAGAAAGTGGCCATTTTGCAGTCAGACATCAAGTTTCCTGGTAAGACAAAAAGGACCTACTTTTTTTTCCTGAAAAGAAAATTCAATGGGTTTCTTTTTTGCCAAAAGCTCTGGTTCTTTGCCATATTCAAACTTCTTACAACACAATTTGAGTTTCCCTTGATAAAACAAATAATACTGAATTGCTTCAACAATTCCTATACAATGCAATACACAGTGTGTTTTGAAGCAAGTATAACCGTAAAAACGATGATATAAGATCTGCCTCAGAGTGTTAAAGACTTGAAGTGGGACAAATTCTGCTGAAAATTGATAGGCAGGGCGGTGCACTGGTAAGTGGTTGCCTGGTTGGTCCCTGCAGTACCATTCATTAAGATTTAAGAAGAAATCTTTTAGTTTGTTTTTACTTTCGAATATGCAGGACGGCAGGATCAGCATATCTTTTCATTAAGAACAGAGTAAATACAAACTTAAAGTAATATACTTTCGTTACAAGAATTCCCTAGAAAACTATCTAAATACAGAGGTCACCTCTTACAACCGATGGCATGAGAAAATTTCAGAAAACATAAAGCAGGGTTGATTGCAGTGACAAGCATTTTCGGTTTTCACTAATTATTTGGGTGGTTCAAGTTTGTACCAGGTCCATGAACACGAACTGGGATCCATCCTTGTATGTAAATTGCTAGGTCTCCTTTGAAAGGGATGGTTCCTGTGGCTGAAAGTGTTGATGGAGAAGTGACTATTAGTTGCTTCATTCATAGCATATCTAGCTACGGAGAAACATGTACTACTACTACAAACACAGAGTGGGAAAAGAAAAAGAAGTGCTAAATTCTTGTCGGATTCAGAAGATGTGGGTTTGAGGCGAGATTACCGTACTTCCAGCCCGAAAGGTTTCCTCAACTGTGTTGCCGGTGACATAGTTGCGCAATTTCGTCCTGACGAAAGCAGCGCCTTTTCCAGGCTTGACGTCGAGAAACTCTGTTGTTGGATGGAGTGGAGAGAGATTGACTGCCATGTTTTGCATAACAATGACATACATTTTGAGCATTTACTTAGGCTACAGCTTGGACACACAGAGGTAGCATCCTTTTTCTTTCCAACAAAGACTAGAGGTACATGGACTTGATAAGCACTTAAGCAGTTTTCCACAAATTTCTGCCGAGACATTCAAAAAACCAAATTTCTGCTGAGAAGTGAGAAATGTTGGTGACCTAGAACTTTCCATGGCGCGCCGTCGACCTTGACGTTGGTGCCGACCCTGATGTCGTTGCTGGAGAGCGCGTAGACCCCTGCAAGCATGCATGCAGAGCAAACACATCCAATGCTCTGAAACTGAAACAGCAGCAGAGGAAACTGGGAAGTGAGAACAGACTACACAGCAGCAGCTGCTATGTTTACGGATGAATGAGCGCAGCCGGAGGGAGGAGGAGGCTGCTGCTGCCGCGACGCCGTGCCCGTGGTGGCGGTAGGTGGGGCCGGCGGCAAGGTGGCCAAGGGCGGCCATTCCTTTTCGTTGCGGCCTGCAGCGCAGGTGACGACGTTGTGATGGTAAGGGTGGCGACGTTCAGGCGATGATGGGATGGGATGGGGTGGGGTGGCGACTGGCTCAGGCGATGGTTTCGCAGGATCGTAACAACTGAAGATTACGAAGTTTATTAACAGCTGAAGTGGCAGTTCCTTCTAAACATCAGCATCAGAAACATGTGACACGCCATCAATTAAGACTCGCGAACAGTCTGTGTTCCTTCATCAATTGGAACAGCACGTGCTATCCAAACGCACCAACATATTGTGGCACTGGAGGCATGGAGCGACCGGCAAGATCATCTGCCGTGCCCCCTTCCAAGTTCCATCTCTCAGAGCAAGAAATTAACCATAGCATATCCTTTGATTTTGAGCGATAACAGCCGCAGAGCAAGATTACACAACATAGCTCAACTTGGGAGAGCTTGACTGACGGATATCTGAATGTGAAATCGGATGGTAACACAGAGGAAACGGTTTTCCCCCCAGAGGCAAACACATTGTAAAGCACCAGCAAAGCTATACCTAAATAAAAAATGCAACTCAGAACGAACCCTGAACCGAACATCATAGGCTTCCAACATATTATTATTACCTAATAAATGCTGGCATGCCCACACTCTCCATTTCCACCATCAGAAACGCCTTATCCTTTCATCGACGAATATATCCGATGGTAGAGCAGAGGGTTCATAACAAAAGAAGAAAGACTCAAAAAATTTTACAATCTGTGAATTGCTAACCGAGGTAACCATATGTTTGCCTAAAACAACTTATGGCCACCGAACTTGCTGCATCGGCTATTGATGCCTAGGCCTGCTCTGACTTCTAAAATCTGTCATGCACTTTCTTTCCTTTTCCTTTCCTAACACGAACTAACATCACCAGCCACTGGTAACACGAATTAACCCAGTGAAGCCAATGACTATCGAAAAAAGAAAACCTTTGTGCACAGCCCTCTTCCGCAGAGAAGAAACTTGCCGGTCATACCGCTCCATGCTCCGACACGTGGTGATTAAGACGTCCATCCGATATGCCACACGAACCAGCCTGCTATTTCTCTGCCTTCGAACTTTTGCTGCCCAGGCTTGCAAACCCTTTCCTGGCTTCTCTGTGCTACAAACCGATTGAACACGCAAGTTAATGTCTAATTGTGAGACACGAGACTATGGCATGGATTCAAATCTTCAACAGAATTGTGTTAGGCTACCTTGTGAAGTATTCTGAAGCTTTGGTCTTGCTTTTCCCGAAGAAGCATCCAGTCTAAGGCCAAGTCATACTCGATCGTGTTGGGCTGGGAACAATGCGAGGTTGATACGGCCTTGCTCTGCAAAAAGGATAGTTGTGTAAAATAGCAAGCCAGGACATGCAAAACGTCGCAGAGCTTATAAACATAAAGTGCCCACCTGCTTGTGACCTATTTGGACATGTGAGGAGAGGTGCCCAACAAGATTCTTTGAAGATTTTGGAACCTCAAGTAACCCTTTGCTGCAGTGAAGAGGTCTGCAAGTTATACAATAGGCAAGAACTATCATTAGCTAACCAAGAAAAATCATGCCAGACAAACTTTACTAACAAACTATCACTCGGCCAAAAATAATATTTATGATGGCAAAAATTTCCCTTTAGTTTACACACTGAAACTTGTGTCATGCAGCTCCAGCGATCACTTATTCTTGTATTGTAGCCAAGCTGTAGAATGTAATTGGATTTTTTTATGAGGACTCGAACTCGAACCACGTATTATTCAGCTCTTCTATTGCAGTCAAGCTGCATAATTTAATTGGATTCTCTTTGTTTCTTGCCCCCATGCAAAGTCTTGATATATTGGAAGTTATCCAAAGTTAATTATATATAGCTGACTACTGGAACATTTGCCTACAGCCGAACAAATTCTACTCTGAGAATTCCTCCCAACAAGCATATATGAAAGGAATTCTAATGCAAAGAATAAGAAAGGAATCTCAAGGAAAATGTTGCTTGTGTTAGAAAACTGATTGAAGAATCAATGAATCAGAGCATCACCTAAAAAAAGACTCTTTGTTCTAATTCATAAATTCCAACAGTTGATTTGCCAGGAGAGTTCAACAATTGACAAAACAAACAGAACACCACTTAGAAGAAAAAAATCGTTACAGAATAAGATACAAGGTAGATTACATCAACTACAAACACATACCTTCCACCAACAACCAAACCAGAATTGATTTTTGAAATGGCAGCATCAGCAGCATCTTCAGTATTGAATATGGCATATGCTTTGCCTGCAGATAAGAAAACCACTTGTAAAATTGCAAGAAGAAGAAGAAAAAATACCATTCTCCCATTAACTGGACAAAGCTAATTATTTATGGAAAATCTTTAAGGAACAGTTTATGCATCTGTCAACAGGTTACTGGGCCAAGTATCAGACGACTTTGGACGCTAGGATGGAGATCCAGATGTCCACTCCCTTCCCCCCTTCACTACATCAACTAGATAATACCAGGTCATTTTACACAGCATTGCCACCCCAACCTTGTCATCACCATCCCTGGTACCACCGCTTGCCAGTGAACACCTCCACAACTGGCCAGCGTCCCTCCCTCCTTTAGTATTGTCACACATCTCCTGCCTGCATCGGCCTCCTCTCTATCTCCAGTGAGATGGCCCTGCCCCACCCTCACCAGACCAGATCCACGCTCGCCGCCCACTCCCTTGCTAACCACTTTGATGGCATATCACCACAGCATACGGCCCCACCCAATCGGTGGTCTTCCACCATAGCCACTGGGCTAGTCACCTTCCCCACCTATCCCTCCCCCAGGCACCCACCCACCCCCCAAAAAAAAAAGCACGGTCCTCACCTCACTGTCTCTCATTTAATAGATATATAGAATTTTTTCTTTAATTAGTGAACAACTCACCATTGTTTGGATCATCATACGTGGGTGGTTAATGGGCTTTGCATTGCAACTTAGCTGTAATGCTTTACGAACCAGCTTCTGCAAACATGGTTATCATGAAAAATGTTGAAGGGCACTTCATGTAGGATAGGAGTAAATAAAACCAACCAAATTGTAATAACAACGCCCAAAACAAACAGAGGAGTAAGAACATTGAGATTAAAACGAATGAATGTACTGTTGAAAGAGAAACTTTATGAGACAATCATAAGTTACGTGGGCAGAAGTAGAATTGCAACTGAACAGACAGCAGAAGATGTTCACATATAGTTGAAATACTAGGCCAGGGATACAAAGGCGAAGTAGCTTGGGCTTTATGACAGCCAAAAAGACAGGATGCTACTTGCTACCTCTATGTCAGCAGGTCCAAACCGAATATCAAGATTTTGAATATAGACAAGTTTCCCTTTCTTAGCAGCCATCGTTAGTTTTTTTTTTTGAACGCAATGGCAGGAGCTCTGCCTTTTAATTAAGATGGGTAAAAGAAAGTTTATGTACAAACAAAGGCACTCGAGGTTAGGGTTTGAAACCCCCACAAGCATGCAAAGTAGGGAAACGCACGGCCCAAAAGGGGTGGGGGCAACAGCTACACATAAGCGATTGCTCTCTTCCTTTGCTCTATGTCTTCCTTTATCCTTACGGCCACTTGCGGCACCGTTTCTATCTTGTTGTCGAAGATTCTCCTATTTCTCTCTTTCCAAATATTCCAAAAAGTGTAGATTACTACCCCGTTAAGCCGCCTACGCTTGGATCTTGGCACTTTCCTCGCCACCTCTTCCCACCATGATCTGATATCGGTGGGGTCCACCTGCGGTTGCTGCTGAAGCTGAGTGAAGTTCTCCCACGATAGGATTTGATCCCAAACCGCCTTTGCGAAGGGGCAACATAGGCATAGGTGGAGGCCGGTCTCTAAAGGACCATTGCAGAGCACGCATTGTTGTTGGTGTGGCCACCCTCTCCTCTCAGTAGGTTTTTTGCCGTTAGAATTTTATTATCTTGCACTAAGATCCGTGCAAAGATCTTGCATCTGTTCTCCACTTGCGCTTTCCAGATCAACTCTGTACGGAAGGGGACGAGCGAGCCTTTGAATTGTATTCTGTAGGCCGAATGGGTGGAGTAGTTCCCATCATTGGTCCACCGCCAGATGATGGTGTCGTGGACGCCCTGTTGTAGGTGCACATCTTGTATCCGTATCCAAAGGGACACAAACTCCTCTATGTGGACAACCGAGGTGATTTTCCTTCCTAGCTTGTGCATCCAATTGTTGTTCCGGAGCTCTTGTTGCACCGCTCGGTTTCTCCTTGAAACTAGACGAAACAAGTTCGGGGCTAGGTACCTAGGAGCTTGTCCATCGAGCCAATTGTGGTGCCAAAACCTAGTCTTTGCACCGCCCCCAAAGTTATAATGATTGAGGAGTTGAAGAGAGACGATCATCATCGAACATGGAAGCTCGGAGCCGTTCCAAGACTTGGAATCGTCCACCCATTCTTGCCAAAGCCATCGAATCGGAGGGCTCTCCCAAATCTATCAAGGTCGGAGACGCCTAAACCACCCAGCTTTTTAGCTCGGTAACTCTGTGGGCGATTAACAAGGCGGTGTCCGCCATTGGCATTCTCCTCCCCTTCCTTCCGAGAACGATCTCCTGATTTTGTCGATCTTTTTCTTAGCCCATGCAGCGAGAGGGAACACCGTCAGGTGGTAGGTTGGCATGGAGGAGAGGACTGATGTTACTAGAGTGAGGCATCCCGCTCTGTTAAGCCATCTTCCTTTCTACTTGGGTAACCTCTGCCCAATACGATCTATGAGAGGTTGCACGTGGATCTTTTGCAGTGATCTGATGTGGAGTTGCAGCCCCAAGTACTTGCATGGGAAGCTCCCTCTAGAACCGGTGAAAGGTGAGAGGACTTGGTCTAGATCAACGTTTGCGCAGCTGATCGGGTGCACCGAGCTCTTTTGTAGGTTAATATGGAGTCCCGAGAATGTGCCAAAAGCCTGTAGGATGGTTTTGACGGCTTCAACATCATCTTTTGTGGGGCTGATGAAAATGGCAGCATCATCCGCATACATGGAGGTTCTCCATTTTGCCGCCGTGATTGGTAAGGGGGTGAGTATCCCATGGTCGGTTGCCCGGTCAAGCAAACATTGGAGCGGGTCCATAGCAAGGATGAATAGCATGGGTGAGAGTGGATCTCCTTGCCGGACGCCTCTGGCATGGCTAAAAGCGGCACCCTGACGGCCATTAAGCAAGGGTGTGGAAGTGGATGTACGTAGAAGGATAGAGATCCATTCACGCCACCGCTGTCCAAAGCCCAGAGCCTGCAGAATCTCGAGCTGGTACCCCCAATGAACCGTATCAAAAGCTTTGTGGATGTCTAGTTTCATGAATAAAGCCGATGTCTTCTGCTTGTGCAGCCTTTGTACCGTGGCCTGGACGTAAAGGAAATTATCATGGATGTTTCTCTTTTTTATAAATGCGCTCAGGCAGTTGGAGACGAGGGAGTTCAGTCGAGGGGCAAGTCTGTTAGCTAACACCTTGGAGAAGATCTTTGCAATGCTATGGACGAGGCTGATGGGTCTAAAATCAGTAACTCTTGTTGCATCCATTTTTTGGGTAGAAGGATGATGCAAGCCGAGTTTAGCCATTCGAAGCCCTGTGCATTCAAAGTGAATAGGCTGTTCATGGCCGCCATAACATCATCCTTAATGATTTCCCAACAAGCTTTGAAGAAGGCACCCGTGAAGCCATCCGGTCCTGGTGCTTTGTCGGAAGGCATGGAATATATAGTCTTTTTTATCTCTTCCTGGGAGAAAGGCACCTCCAGATCGGAGAGATCATGTTGGTTGTAGCCAAGGGATTGCCAATTTAGTGTGGAAGCTCTCGGCACCGCGGAGCCAATGTGATTTTTGAAATAATCTCGAATCACCTTTTCTTTCTCTTGATGAGCCACCGCGATCCCCCCATTCGTATGTAGACAATGTATGTAATTCTTTCTCCTAAGGTATATACTGCTCGCTCGATTGTGGAAAAACTTAGTGTTAGCATCTCCACAAATGAATGTATGTTAGTCTCGATCTCCATTCGATTCTTGATTTTTCGATGGTGCGCAGCCCAAAGGTTACTACGGGCTTTGAGGCGGCGACATAGGTGAAGCTCCATGGCAGTGAGCAACATATGTTCTTGGGCTGCTTCTAATTGTAGCAGCACTTCTTTCACTATGACGAGCTGCATCCTCGTATCCCCTATTTTTTCTTTCTTCCAACGCTTGATACCTTTTGCCACACGCGGCATTTTGATATGCAAGCGTTTGATTGAAGAGAGGTGCCGACCGGCCTATTCCAAGTGTTTTGGACCAGATCTTGGAAGCCTTCCATCTTAGTCCAAGTAATTTTCGAAGCGGAAGGACGTGCTGTGATTGTGGTCAAGTTCTCCCTGGAGTAGTAGCGGGGTATGGTCCGACATGAGCGATGGAAGGGAGTGTAAGAAACACGAGGGGAAGAACAGCCCCACCTCGGGGTACATAGTAGTCTGTCAATTGTAGTGAGCGTCGGGTTTTCTGTTGATTGCTCCAAGTGAAGCGGCGTCCATTTAGCTTGATTTCTTTGAGCCTCAAATGATCGATTGTCGCTCTAAATGCCCCCATGAAGCGGCGGTTTAGATTGGAGTTGTTCTTGTCTTCCACTTTGGTAGATGAGATTGAAATCTCCTGGATGAGCCATCTATCATTCTCCGCGGTGGAATGTTCTTCGATTCTTGGAGGAATTGAAGTTTGGTCGCCTCTCCTTGCGGGCCATATACCACCGTAATTTGCCACCTTGTTCCATCTCGCCTCATGTTGATCTCTGCGGTTATAGCGCTCATGTAAGTATAATGTCGGAGAGGTCGAAGAAGTCTTCATTGACCGCAAGGAAGATGCCTCCTCGTGTCTGTTCCGCCGAGAGCACAATAGAGGAGTTTTCAAATTTCGCTCCGACTGTTCGGCGCACCACATTATGATCCATAACTTGCATTCTTTGTTTCTTGTAGACATACGATGGTGGCGCCAGTGGTTCTCACTAGCTCACTGAACGAGTCCTGTCGGGCACCATTATTCAAACCCCTGACGTTCCAGTTAACTAACTGACAATTCAGCTGTGCCATATGTCAACCAATGGTCCCCTATTTAAAATAATTCTTCGGAGGGAGACAAGTAGGAAGTCGTCTGTTGCTGTGGTAGAGGCGACAAGCACAGAGATAAGCACGCAGAGGCATATGCACAGAGATAAGCACACAGAGGTCATGAAAGCATCAACTTGGAGTGGTCGATACATCTGAAAGCCAGTGGCTGTCGGCGCAGTGGTACAAAGCAAGCGTTTCTTGCTCACTGAGTTTTTGCTACAGCTAACTACCAGATGACGAGTCCTTGCAGTGTGGTGGGCAGGCGACTGTAGGCCTCTGGCTGTCGCCGCACCCAAGCACCATGACTGGACGGTCACAAAAGATGTGGAGCTCCAGGAGCTCCCGTAGCAGTAATCGATCACTAACATTATTACATTGCTCTACCCATGTGCGTCAGCAGGTATCTAGGCGTGCGTAGTGGGCAGCGCTGCCGCAACGTCGAGGCCACACAAAGCCGTCAGAGCCTTCACGGTGTCGTCGGTAAGTGGTCCTTTGAACAGGCTGAAGTAGCGCAGCGACGCGTCGTCATGGCTGAGTCCTTCCATGTCGAGGATGCCCAGCCTTTTCATCAGTACTTGCATGGCCTTCGCCTGAGTGTCACCCCTTGGCCAATTCATGGCAGCTATGCGGACGCTCCTGCATGCCGGGACCAGGGGCCTCTTGCGTCGCTGTGGTGGGCTGTGCTGGCGCACCGGGACCTGCAAGATGGGTGGAGGCAGGGGTTGTGAGATCCCCTGTAGGAATTCAGACACCAGTGCTGTGATGACAGGCGTTCTTTGGCCAACGTCGTTTACCTCCAGGGCGGTGGTGGTTTGTTCCGGCAGTTGGTGCTAGAGGCCATTTGCCATGCATGAACGGCTAGAGCAGCTGCTGGCCATCCCGCGGACACAGCGCCTGGAGTAGACGATGCCAGGGCGGAAACGCACCACCTGGGCGCTTCCGGCCGGTTGTGCATGGGTGCGGTGCGTGAGGGGAGCACATGGCCGCCTGGCGTAGACCTGGACCGTGCGGAAGCGTCGATCAGCCATGAGGCATGATCGCTGCTGTGTCGCGATGTCATGGTCGCCGACGGGGGGAACCTGCAGTTCATTCAGACAAGATGGAGATACATTTCCCGTCAGCTGCACCGAAGAAGAGTTGCTCGGTGGTGCGGTCATGCTCAGCGCAGCGGCAACAGGTGGGACGTTCGGCTCGCAGGTTGGAGGAGCAGAGACCGAAGGGATGAAGGGCAGATCATCGCATTGACTGTGGTTTGCACGCACCTTG